GGGGGGGGGGGGGGGGGGGGGGGGGGGGGGGGGGGGGTGCAAAGTATAATACTGCACGTAGCAATGTGAAGCGAATCGAAGGACGCAGGTGGGGTGTGTATCAACTCTCTCTCTCTCTCTCTCTCTTCTCCCACTCTCTTCTCTCTCGCTCTCTCTCCCACAGTCCGGCTTAGATTTTCTAAGCGCTTTTTCGACATCGGCGCAGTCGGTTGTTGACCGCGACTCGCGTTGCAAGCCGTAAGTCTATTTTTTGCCGTCGCTTCTGGGAAACCATAAATAACGACGTGCGCGCGCGCGCGATCCTAAGAGGCTAGAGAATGTTTGCAAAATGATTATCATTCGATGCTCCCCGCTCGAGTGCCGAAGCTATGTGCTTCTTCTCCTTTTTCTCCCTCCTCTTATTCTCCTTCTTATACGTCGTCGGCTTTTTCTTCTCCTCCCTCAACATCTTCTTCTTTTTGTCGCTCATTTCGATTCCCAACGATCCGGGGGAATGGTTATTGTCGTTGCCGACGATGCATGTCGTAATCGAGAAAATCATTATCCACCGCTTGTAATCATTTCCAATACTTTGTTTTGCCCATGATTTGACGTACGATAATAATACGCTCGGGGCATCTTTAACTCGTTTATTGGAATAAAGTATAATTGCAAGTAAGTCTGAATTGATTCTCTGCGCCCCCCCACTCCTCCCCCTGGCGCTTTAAATCGCTCAACTAGTTTGTTTGTGTGCGTGCTGGCGTGCGTGATCTGTTCCCGGTAATTGTTCGTTACGCCATCGTTCAAACATTACAAGCTCGGATTCACAATAGATAAGGACCCTCGCGCATTCCCTCATCGACGCATTCCAATAAAACAGCAATTTTGATTTCTTAATCTCCGGCATTATTAGAACTATCGGCTGCTTCGACGAATAGGTTGACAAAGGAAACGAAAACAGCAACAGCTACCTAAAATTTGAATGAGCTTAATTAAATATTCGAGAGCCGTCCGCACGAAGGTATTACAGATTCGAGCTGTGTTCGACACATGTGGAATCTTGGCACGAATGCCTAACTCGCAACAAACGTACGTGTTCGTTCGTTCTTATTCTTATTCTTCTTCTGCTAAAGTTCTTATCAAAACGGATCCCCAGCTTATTTCGCTCCCTCCACTACTACAATATTCGTATTAACTTTTCAACTATTTATATCACTCATACGATATTTACTATCTTATATACATAATACACGCGCGCGCACATACACAAACACAGAGATAGAGAGAGAGAGAGAGAGATACATATATATATATATATATATATATACATATGGGTGAGTGCGTGTGTTTTTACATATGTTGAACACTATCTTCCATCCTTGACTTTTCTTTTTCTTTTTTGTTGTGGTAGTTGTTGTTTTTTGTTTTGTTTTTATTTTTTAACAAAGTGGAAATTTTGAGGGTATCGCGAGTTATTCGCGTGCACGATTAAATAAATTAAAAATAAAATTCAGAGTAATGGTAAATTATCGTTATTATGGGAATCGATTACACGGCGCTTACGTGCGTCGCGCACTCTTTTATATTTTCAACGTTATTAGAGACATTTATTTATAAGGAATTTTATGAAAAAATTATACGCTTACGTAATAATCGTATGTAGTTAAGTGTTATTTTAAGCTGTAATGAAGATTTAAAAAATGTACACTAAAAAAATAGGTATTATTTAAATTAATATTTACAATACTAAATTTGGGCGTGTTAAATTAATCCTCGACGCGAGTTTAAAAATCTCCGTATATTAGCAATCTCGTGGATCAATAGTTTTCGAGTTTTCTCCAATAACCCCAACGGTTTCCTCGTTATAATTAAAGGGTCCGTAAGTTGAGATAAAAACATTCGATATGGAGGAGAGAGAGGGTGGGTGGGAGGGAGGGAGGGAGGGAGGGAGGGAGAAAGAGATAGATAGAGAGATAGAGAGATAGATAGATAGAGAGAGAGAGAGAGAGAGAGAGAGAGAGAGAGAGAGAGAGAGAGAGAGAGAGAGCAGAAAGGCAGGAGAAAAAAAACGTGACGAAGCAACGTCAGAACAAATGCAATTAAGGATCCTTTTTCACCTTGAAAGAGGGCCTTGGACACATCCGCCTGTCCACCAGGAAAGATCCTTCTCACGAAGATGCCCATTTCGCCCCGCGGACTATCCCTGCCGCCGACGACGCTAAAGCCGAGACTCGGCTTTCCCAGACCTTTCTCGAATCTCGCGATATGCTTCATCGCGTATTGATGCTGATGCTGATGCTGTTGCTGATGCTGATGCTGATGCTGATGGTGGTGATGATGATGGTGATGACGCATGCCCGTATCCTCGCTCGTCCCCGTCGTCATACTCTTCGTCGTGTAATCGAGGGACAAGTACTCCGGCCGGTTCTGGCAACTAGACTCCTGGGACTTTTGGGACTCATCGAGACTCAGGGTAGAAACGCTCATCGCGCTCTGGAGGTAGTCGTTACTCTCGAGGGGACCGTCACCGACGTACACTTGCGGCAGAGTCTCTTCGTAGGCGGTTTTCAAACGAACTCGCGTGCCCTCGCAAGAGCTAAGAAAATTCTGAACCTCCTCTAGGTTGCTGAGGGTTCGTAGATCCTTGCCCTCGACCTCCACGATCTCGTCGCCCAGCCTCAGTCGTCCATCCCTTTAAATTGTGCATCCAATTGTTTATAATAAATAGCATGCAATATAATCATATCGAATGAATGATACTAGCGTAGCTTTAAGTATGGAAGCTTTAAGTATGCTAGGCAAATGATTTAATAAAATAAAAGGATTGTGATGCAAGTCAAGTTAACGACGAATTGACGAAATTATTATTTCATTAAAGCCATTTGAATTGTCTTAAGAATTATTAATTGACCGCGTTAATTTATGAAATTAATTATGAAAGTAGTATAGAAGACGTAGTTTACCGTTCGCGATTTACCTCAACAGCCACTCTTCAACTTTTCTATTACAATTTTTTTCTTCTTCTTTCACTTACTTATTATTAGTCATTTGTACGTATTATTATTATTTTATTTGTGCTTCAATTCAATATATTAAACTCATTTAATGCGACGAGCCATCGAAAATGAAGTATCGAGATTTTATATGTAGGTCGGCTGGCTAAGCGAGTCCCGTCCACCCCGTCCCCTTCCATGACCGCCCCACCACCCTCTCGTTCTAATAATATTCGATCTCATGAATATTCGCTCAACGCAACCTAGTATAGTAAGTAACAAAACTTACCTGTGTGCAATGCCATCAGTTTCCAGCTGAACGATAACGTATCGTAACTCGCCGACTCGTTGCTGCGCCAATCTTATGCCCAAACTTTCCTGCGGGTCGACCTTCGAGAGCTGAACGAGCCGAGTTCGACGCATTCGTTTTGGCGGCTGTATGATATCGCTGAGAAATCGCTTCTTGTCCTGCTGTAGCCTCACGCGGTGTGCCGCCGTTTGAATCCCAAGGACGTCCATGCTCTTGGGAATGATTCTCGTTGAATTGGAGAAAGAGGAGGATGATGAGGAGGAGGAGGGCGAGATGGAGGGCGAGGTCGACGAGTTCGTCTGATGAATGCTGGGTAAGAGTCTACCGGATGCGCTTTGATGGTGCCATCTGAGGCCGTCGATCCTTTCATCGAGGTAGACGCCACACCCCAGCTTAACAATGTCTTTGCTGTCGTGCTCGTGGCAGTCGCTGGGCGTCGAGCTGCGCATCGGCTTCTCGAGCTCCGAGTCGATGACGCTGCTCGTGTCGGAGCTGTCGGTGCACTTGAGGCTGAGCGCTTCGGTTTCCGAGGCCGCGGACTCACCTCGGGGCCCGTCACTATCGTACCCGGACTCGTTCGAGCTCACGTAATGCGAGGATAGCCTCTGCTCACCACTGGGCGCCGAGTTTCTCCGATGATTCCTCAATAGCGCCGACGTCATCATGCCCGTGGAGCTGGAGAAGGAGGAGGAGGAGGAGGAGGAGGTCATCGTCGTCATCGGCGTAGTTTGTGTCGTCGTCATTATCGCCATCGCCGTAGTTGTCGTTGCCATCGTCGAGTTGGACGTCGTCGTCATGGAGTTGGATTCGTAGCTGAGGTCGAGATTCAAGGACGACGTCGCATCGGGCCTCAAGTCTATCATGTCCTGCCTATCTTGACACGAGCTATCATGATAAGGCAGCGATATGGAATTCCTGCAGCTTTCCTCGATGCCGTTATGCACGAGCGAGAGATTCGCGGGGCCAAAATATCGATCCTTATGGTCATAGCGTTGGAATTGGTCCTCTTTGAACTCGGAATAGGAATTTCTGGCGTACCTATTCGACGGATCGTGCAGCCTATAGCGCTGGGAATCTCTACCGTGACAGCCGTTCTTGGGTGTTCGTCTCCTTCCCAGCGTCGTCGTGCCTTCAAAGGACTCCTCGATCTTCAGCGCTGGGAAGTGCTCTTCGGACGCGGTCTTGAAGAGACGATGATCATCTTTGTTGCCGGTGTTGCTCATAGCGATCGACGCGTTGCTGTAATTCTTCTCTTCCGGCAGGACGGACAGTCTCGATCTCAGAAACGCGTAAGGAAAATTCGTCTTTTTGGCCTCTTTGAAGTCGCAACTACTGGACTTCTTCATTATCTCGCCCCTGCCGGAATTGAGGAAGTCGCAGGGGACGAAATTTCTAGAAGAAGCGTTGGACGCTCGCGAGGCCTGCGACTCGTTGAAAACGTCGTCCTCGGATTGGCCGCCGCTGAGGTTGTCGCAGGACACGGTTTTCCCGTGCTCGTTTTTCGCGGCTATCCGTAGGTCAATGCCCTCCGACGGATCGTCTCCCTTAACGTAGGTCGGACTGGTATTCAATTGGCTGGTGCTGCAGCTCCTAAACAGATTCTCCTTCTCCGGCGCGCGATCGAGTTTATCTTCGAGATTCTGGGACGAGCGTCTGCTGCTTTTTGACGACGAATTCAGCATCCCCGTCGATCCCATTCTAATGAAGAAGGATTTAAAGGGCGAGGGAGACCTATTGCTGGACGTCTGAAAGAATTTTCTCTCGTTCGGCTGTTTCTTGTCATTATTGTTGGTCGTGTATTTGTCCGTACGATTGCCATTAACAATGTTCACCACGTTGTTACTGTTGTTGCCGTTGCTACTTGCGCTACTACTGTGATTATTCTTATTGCTGTTGTTGCTGTTGTTGCTGTTGTTGCTGTTGTTGCTGTTATTGCTGTTATTGCTGCTACTGCTGCTGCTGCTGCTGCTGCTGCTGCTGCTGCTGCTGCTGCTGCTGCTGCTGCTGCTGCTGCTGCTGCTGCTGCTGCTGCTGCTGCTGCTGCTGCTGCTGCTGCTGCTGCTGCTGCTGCTGCTGCTGCTGCTGCTGCTGCTGCTGCTGCTGCTGCTGCTGCTGCTGCTGCTGCTGCTGCTGCTGCTGCTGCTGCTGCTGCTGCTGCTGCTGCTGCTGCTGCTGCTGCTGCTGCTGCTGCTGCTGCTGCTGCTGCTGCTGCTGCTGCTGCTGCTGCTGCTGCTGCTGCTGCTGCTGCTGCTGCTGCTGCTGCTGCTGCTGCTGCTGCTGCTGCTGCTGCTGCTGCTGCTGCTGCTGCTGCTGCTGCTGCTGCTGCTGCTGCTGCTGCTGCTGCTGCTGCTGCTGCTGCTGCTGCTGCTGCTGCTGCTGCTGCTGCTGCTGCTGCTGCTGCTGCTGCTGCTGCTGCTGCTGCTGCTGCTGCTGCTGCTGCTGCTGCTGCTGCTGCTGCTGCTGCTGCTGCTGCTGCTGCTGCTGCTGCTGCTGCTGCTGCTGCTGCTGCTGCTGCTGCTGCTGCTGCTGCTGCTGCTGCTGCTGCTGCTGCTGCTGCTGCTGCTGCTGCTGCTGCTGCTGCTGCTGCTGCTGCTGCTGCTGCTGCTGCTGCTGCTGCTGCTGCTGCTGCTGCTGCTGCTGCTGCTGCTGCTGCTGCTGCTGCTGCTGCTGCTGCTGCTGCTACTGCTGCCGATGCTGCTGTTGTTGATGATGCCGACGTTGTCCGGGCGCTCGGGAATCGTGCATATCGTTTCACGGGAGCCGGAACGTCGGAACGACTCGATCTTCTTGCTCATCCTGCGCAATCCCCATACTCCTAAGCCTGTAAAATGCACGAGGCAGAATATACCGTTTACATGGGCCGGTTAGTCGAGCACGTTGGTAAAAAGTACGTGGGGCCGCGAATACAGGCCGGAGTGGTTCGGACAGATGATATTCCGCATACTTTTCGGGGACTAGTTTTTCTCATTGGAACTTGCTTAGCTGACTCGGTGAATCGTTGATCGCGTGGTTGGTGGGATTAACGGACGCGAATCCCATACGAGCGCGCGTCCGTTTGGCGATACACGGAGGAGACGGTCAAAGGTATTGGTGTGCAGGGGTATTTGAGCGACAATGACGACGATGTTGGGTCGCTAGTGGCTATTTTTTGTTCGGGTTAGTGTGGCTCGAAGAATGTCGATGTCGATGGGTACTTTCAATGTTCCAGTTATGTAGGTCACTTGGCCTTACCCGTATAATAAATAAGTTTTTTTTTTGTTTTTTTTTTTGCTATTGAAAAATCGAATCGTCAATTATATAAATCACTGAAAATTTATACATATAAGGCATTAATAAATACGTAAACTGATACCGAGGAGAAACTTTGCGAGATATAAGAATAACCGTATGGACAATATAGACGCGCGTTATTAATATTTAGAGTTTCGGGTGCATAGAAAATGATTCTTTACTTTAAAAATTTTTTTTTATTATTTCTTTTTATTCTTTCACGAGCAATACACGGCATTATTTTTACTTCAAATTCACGATAATGAACGAGGATTAATTTAAAGAGACGAGTAATAGTAAAAGCATTCGTTTTTCTTTGAATATAGAAACCCTATATATATATATATATATATGAATGGGCGACTTGAAGCGTAATCATTCAATTACGACAAAATTGTATAAAGTAAAAATAAAAGAGTGCTCGTTACAAGTATTAAAAATATTTCCTTAAACCAAAAACGACCGACCGACTGTTATTGTTTTGCCATTGGAAAAATTAATTACGTCACATATTATTATAAATGCACGCGATTACGTACGTACGTACGTACGATAATACATTGCCGGACGAAAGCGAAACGCGAAAAACACCATGGATGAATACATGCAAGGCATTCGCGACGACGTCATGTCGATTTCTGTACTTGTTGGCGCGAAGCAGCGCACAGTCATGGAGTGTACCGAGGCTTAATACCTCTACCAGCCGCCACTTATTATTCAACCCACCGATACAACAATTCCAAAGGTGTTGAACCTCCCTTTTGTAATTACACGCGAATCATCTTGGTCTGTCGATCGTTCTAATATCGCGATTCTTGCTTTAATAAATCAAGAGAAAACCGAAGTTGAAAATAGAAGTTGAGTTGGATTAGGGAAACCAGACTGAAACTGACTATGTATTTATGAAAATCTAGAAATTATCATTAAATCTGGAGAGCGTGACGCTCGTATTACGCAAACCTCGGCTCCGTTTTAAACGTACAATCGCAGCTTTTGTTATGAATTATTATAATTATAAAGTCATTACGCTCGTAAGCTTCATGGTGCATGGCTCTCTTAATTAATCGCTTAATCGTCATTAATCTAAATAAAAAAAAAAAAAAAAAAGTCAAGAAAATTAAAAAGAAAATACTAATAATAAATAAATAAAAAATGACGGATGGCGTGTCCAATGTTCCGATAGATATGCTCTATTTATGCCCTAAGCGAACCAATACATTCGCTCCTCTCCTCGCATTATAATCCCGATATAAAATGCATTTTCTCTCTTCGTCCGAGTATCGCGCACTCGGCGATTATAGAGCTGTTGCCGAGCTTATCTCGACCCACTGAAGCCGACAGGTGAGATTGTATTCCGCGCAACGAGGAACATTTGGGGTCGAGCGGGTCGTGCCACACCCATTGGCAATAACACGGCGATGACCCCGTTTGGTCAATTTGGTCGTGCATTTGCTCGATGTACAATGTACAATGGCGTAGAAGGACGTGGCGTTATCACCTCGGTGCTTCTCGGGCTCGTGCTCGACGATGAAGGCCGGCATCGCCGTGACCAATCGGTAATCCGTCTCCGGTTGCATTTTGCCCTCGTCCTCCTGGGTGAGTAGGGTATAGGCGTCGCCGCAGCTCTTGCGCGAGAACTTGGATTTGGCGGTGAACATGTAAGCGGCCGCGGCGGCGGTGACGGACGGCTGGTGCCGGTCGTGGATGACCGGCTGCTGGGCCTCCTCGAGCGTCAGCGGATTCGGCAGGACGCTGCCGATCTCGTCCGCACTGTGGCGCCTTGCCTTTGTCAGTCGCTTGAACATAGTGTCGGCCTGCAACACACGAAGCACAAGATTTTTGCTCACTTCTAGTCGATAACACACGAGTAAAAGAACGATCCGCCACTTCATCTCGACATTGGTCATTAAATAGTATAGAGATCGCTTAGGCATCGGTGTGTGGAGGCGCGTGTGCGCTGTTGTGTTGAGGGGGTGGGTGGAGGATGAGAGCTAAGTCAAGCGCTGGGATTAATCGATTCGTGGGGAGGAAGTATTTTTAATGATAGTTAATTGATAGGCCGAAAACTGACTGTTTTGTAGTATCGAATGTGCAATGTGGTGAGCTGGAGACTTTGAGCTTAATGAATGAAGTGCTTGTTGAATTTGTCGATGATAATTAAAAACAAGCGAATTTATTCGATGATAAGCTAAACAGACATGGGAAAAATGAATAGATCGCTAATTAATAATGGATCTCATGGATGTTTTCTTATTTATATATTATTATTATTATTATTATTATTATTATTTTATTATTATTGCTATTATTATTATTATTATTATTATTATTATTATTATTATTATTGTTATTATTATTATTATTAACGAGTCATAATTAAACCTCGCCTCTTAAAAAATAACTCCTTCGCATACCGTTTAGCTCGGTTAGGTTCGGCTATATTGCGATTCAATCACAGTCTGACTACATTAAAATAAGATTTTCATAGAGCCACTTTTAGAGTAAAACAATAAATCGGTGGTTTGATAGGTCGAGGGTATTATTAGCTATTTATTAATCGTATTTGGTAATTTGTAAAATTTATTCGAGCAAGCGTTATTTTTTTTTTTTATTGTTAAGATTATGATTATTTTACGGAAAAATAAAATTACTGGTCCGGGCACTCGATGCGCAATACAAAGAAGTATTGCAAAATCTGTAAAGGCGATTCCCCCAATACTCCATGCTTTTAGAATTCGAGACAAAATCGTTCCCAGGGCTTCGACTCACGACTAAAGAATGAGAGAGAGAGAGAGAGAGAGAGAGAGACAGTGTGTGTGTACGCGCGCGTGTTAGACATGCTACGATAGAAGGAGAAAATGAGGCGATAGGGGCGGTGATGGTGATGGTGGGGGGTGGGGGGTGGTGGTGTGGGGGACAGGAACGGGGAGAGAGATAAAGAGAAAGAGGAAATAAAGAAAGAAAGAAATGATGATCGTGACCCGGAGCTCGGGCAAAGATCGACCTCTAGAGCAAACGATTCGATCGATCGATCGATCCTGGCAGATTGAGAAGAGAAAGACCACGTCGTCTCTCTCTCACTCACTCACTCCCTCACTCTCTCTCTCTCTCTCTCTCTCTCACTCACTCACTCCCTCACTCTCTCTCTCTCTCTCTCTCTCTCACTCACTCGAATCCCCAATTAAACTCCTATTCTCTTCCGTCTCACTTCCTCCCGCTCGTCATCCAACGTTGAATGGAGTATTCGGCGAGAGAAAGAGGCGCGCAAGGGCCAGGGAGATAATCGGTACTACTCGTTAATTTCGTTGAGAAAAACCACCTGTCGCGATGCGCTTGTAGCTCGCTCGCCTCAATCTATCTTGAGGGTTCTGGTATGGAGAAAGATAGAGTCTTCGTAGGTACAAATTGAGCGCTGTACTGCCGCCTCGAAGAAAGGGAACCGCGACGGCTGGGCGGATGGGGCGTTAGAAGGAGTGAGAGAAAAGGAAAAGAGGTGGAGCGGCGACGGCGGCAAACGAGAGCCGAGAGAAATCCAAACCAAAAAGCGTCCATGGGAAACGCGTGCGCGGGCCCACCCAAAAGACCCTTGTGCCTCGATCGATGCTTTATCGGGGCACCCGAATGTCCTGATTTTCTGCATTTTCGCCAAACCTATTATTGCCGCTCCCAATCTTGCGAACGCGCTTTCACCGCTACTCGCTTTTCCCTTCTTAAGCGATAAAAATACGAGCGCCGAGTCGTGCCAATATACCACCATGCGCACGAAAATTCCACTTGGGATTTTGACGCTCTGAGTCATACGCAGTCTTATTTATTTATTTAGGCAATTTAGGCTTACGAGATGTAGGAGCGGGCGCCCTGATGAATATTTGCACGAGATGAGCTGTTGTCGGCGATATTACAATTATAACTCCAGTAGCAGCAATTTATAATGTCACAATTACATTGTTCTCCCCGTGACAATTGATCTTTTCAATACGATTTCAATTGTTTTAATTCTTTCGAATTCCACCTATTCCTAGAGCGAGCAAATTTTTTTTTTTTTTTTTCTTCCAAAGATACTTTATTGTAAAGTAAGAAGCGCGGTAAATGAAATTAGCCCTTCGATAATTCATAAATTTTTGTTGAAATCTTCATTTCAATTAATTTCATTAATCGCTGATAAATAACTTAGTTTGAATCGTGAAGAAATAATCGCATTCCTTTAGCTTTCTATGAATAGACACATTCACCAATGCCGACCAATAACAATATTATGTTTATTCGTGCAAATCTTACAACTTATAAATATTATAAACGTGTAAGCTTGGCCGACTACTACTATTAACTACATAATGCTCAAAATAATATTTCACTCAATATAAAGGCAACAGTGGCACCCTTGTGCCGAGTATGCAATAAACTTACAAGTTCCTAACTCGAATTAAATAATATACAAGCTATTAGTCAGCCAATAAAATTAATTTCTAGGAAAGCTTCCTCGAGCCATTAGCTTTAATTTTTTGTAGGTTAGCCTACGCGGCTATAAAACGAAGCTCGCATAAGTTAAAACTGGCAACGTAGCAAACGTAGCAATCAATAGGACGAGCAACCATTGAAAAGCACACCATCGTCGAATTAAAAATGATAAGATGCCAGCATTATGAGAAACGGCGACAACATCATGAGCTCCGCGTGATTGTTGTTATTATTATTATTATTATTATTATTATTATTATTATTATTATTATTATTATTATTATTGTTATTGTTATTGTTATTATCAAGAGCAATTTTCATTTTCAATCCAATTGGATGGCTAAGGGGTGCTAAGGGCACGATGAGCCCATAGGCCTTAGGCGCGGACCGGGAGCTGGAAAATAAAACCGAATAGCCGAAAGAAATGGAGAGGGCGCCCACTCGAGGCCCCATCTATCTATCTACCTTTGACCTCCCACTGATAATAGCCATCCTCTTCTATTATCAATGAACGACCGAGTTGCAATGCACGTAATTCCATCTGACTGCTGTCGGTAAAGTATGTACGCGGAGGAGATGCCGCGCGAGAGTCATCGGCCCGGTAATTACCGCGATCCGCCGGACACAATGATTCATCTCGTCCGTTACAACTCCTCCGTCCCCTCCGCCCCCGGCCGACCACCGTAGGACAACCGTCGACCTTCGTTCATAGACGGACGACTGTGCGCATCCCTCGTATGTATCCCAGCTATGGTATGTGCGCGTGTCCGATTACGCGTTACCCGGGCGCACGCACACGCACGCACGCACGCACAACACAAAACATCCGAGTCTTTAATGTTTTTCTTTGAAAATTTTTCCCGCTTTTGCTGTAACCGCGGCACTCACGGACCTCTACTTTATACTTCAGGCCCGTGCAATGTGTGCGCAGAGAATTGATTTCCAGTGGAAATACTTTGCCGCCCGTTAGCCTGATATTTAAATGAGATTAAATTAATTTTGTATCACCTCCTCCTCCAGGACCCCGATGCAATAATTTTCTCCAAATGATCGTTGCTGTACAATTCTAATAAATCACTTTGTTCTACTTTTATATAAATATATGCTCTTTCGTTATTAGTGGCGTAATGCGAATACGGTGATGCTGAGATTTGCAAAGAATTGCGATATTCCGATATAGTTGATCCCTCCCCCCACCCCTCCCGCCCCTCCCCAAAAGCCCTCATCATTATTTCACGTGGAAATTTAATGTTTCATGCGAGGTTTATTAATTTAAAATCTCGAAATTAACGATACGAGACTCATTTGATCTATGCGCATCGGCATAATTGTGCCACAACGCACCAAATTAATCGACGATTCAATTTTTCGTGCTTTTACGAGTGGCCCAACATACCGCACAATCGACTAATAATATTTCGCTGAAATAATTTTATCCCCTATAAATCCTTAAAAATACATGTGTAATTAACTAAATCATTCTATTTATTCGATAAGAAATTCAATTTACCGATCCTGTGAGGTATTTATTTATTTATTCTAAAGATAAATAATAAATTAGACGTGACAATTGCTTTTTCAAACGTTGTCTTATAATTCTCATTCCGCGTAAATATATAATTATCTCTTTATTTAATATCTCTTTGAGCAACGTAGATTTTTTTTTCAATACCAAAGGCATATGTTCTGGTTTCCTTAAAAGCACACATTTCAATAGCTTCACCTTATTAGTAGGTAATTACATTTTTGTTATTTAGTGTGAGTGCTCATATTTATACGCATACGTTGCATAAATTATATTGCTACACTAATTTTAATAATCATAAGCTAAAGTTAGAAAATCTATTCTTGCCGTTTCAATACAAGCACTAATAATATTTCGCTAAAATTAATTATCTAAAGAGAAAAATTTGTAATAATAAATTATTTAGTATGAAATCTTTGATTAAAATTAGCGACACTTGATATAAAGAATAATTATCTAACTATTTAATCTATCATTTTCATTCCAAGATATTTAATCCTAACAATGGTGTATTAATCTTCGGCCACATTAAGACTTTTAAACAGCAAAATTCTGTATGATTATTTTTAAATATTACATACGTGTATATTTTTATACCGTAATTCAAAAGCAATTTATAATAGCTGAAAGCATAGGTTATTAAGTTTTGAAAAACACGGTATCTTTACATTTCTGTAAAATTATTAATATTAATAACAAAAGATATATAAACAATAGAAATTTTCTTGTAAATAATTCATTAGCCTGCTACACCTGCATATGTGTGTGTGTGTGTGTGTGTGTGTGTGTGTGTGTGTATGTGTGTGCGTGCGCGCGCGCGCGCGCGTGTAC